TATATATATATATATATATATATATATATATATATATATATATATATATATATATATATATATATATATATATATATATATATATATATATATATATATATATATATATATATATATATATATATATATATATATATATATATATATATATATATATATATATATATATATATATATATATATATATATATATATATATATATATATATATATATATATATATATATATATATATATATATATATATATATATATATATATATATATATATATATATATATATAATTTTTTACCCCATTTATTTTATTTCCCAATTTCTGTTTAACGGAGAGCAGATTTTATAAACACATTTCTAATCATATTAGTTTAATAAGTCATTTCTAATAACTGATTTATTGTATCTTTGCCATGATGAAAGTAAATAATATTTACCTAGATATTTATCAAGACACTTCTATACAGCTTAAAGTGACATTTAAAGGCTTAACTAGGGTAATTAAGTTAGCTAGGCAGGTTAGGGTAATTAGACAAGTTATTTTGTAATGATGGTTTGTTCTGTAGACTATCGAAAAAAAATTAGCTTAAAGTGGGCTGATATTTTTGTCCCTAAAATGGTGTTTAAAAAAATTTAAAACTGCCTTTTTTTTTAGCTGAAATAAAATAAGACTTTCTCCACAAGAAAAAATATTATCAGACATACTGTGAAAATGTCCTTGCTCTGTTAAATATCATTTAGGAAATATTTAAAAAAGAAAAAAAAATCAAAGGGGGCTAATAATTCTGACTTTAACTGTAAATTCTGAAAATCTGACGTCGTATATATATTTCATTCATTTTTTTGTTTGTTTATAAATTCACTTTTTATTCGCATTTAATAATTAGCTTTCCATCCCCATCCATCTCATTAAAAACCACAATTATTTATTTACATTTATTAGCTGTATTTTTTATGGCTTATTTATATTGCTTATTAGTCTTATTTCCTTATATTACAGTTTTTTTTTTTCAGAAAAATTATTTGTACACTGTAAAACATTTCAAATGAAATGTCACAAAATGTTGTTAACTCAAAATTGACTGAAAGTTAATTCTACTCATTTGAAAAGAGTTTTGAACTCAGTGTTGAAGGTAATGCGTTCATTAAATACCTCATTACTTCAACTTAAATGGAGTAAGTTCACAGTACTCATATCGGTTTGAGTTGCATTAAATTATTGGGTTTTACATTACTCAGTTGGTTTGAGTTTTGTTCTCTTATTTTGTTTTACTGTGCACAAATGGCTTCATTTACTCAAATGGATTAAGTTCACAGTACTCATTAGGATTAGTTTTTGAACTTGCGTCGTTTGTTGCAATTGGTTTCCTCAAATGGTTTGAGTTACCTTAACTTTTGGGGTTTTACAGTGTATATAACCAGAGTTAGCTTGTTTTGACACATTATTTTAAATATGTTGGTAAGAAACAATTAAATTTGATTTTGTTTTTTTTTTTTGTTTTTTTGACGGGCTAGCAAAATCCTTAACATTTTGCCCTGTATACGTCTAAAATTTCCTTCATACACCAAAGAAAATAAGTACTGAACATGCCATGTTTTTTTTTCCTGGGAATAACATTTGTAACGGAGCTGTTGACATGGAATTGAACCAGATTTTGGCAAAAACCCAAAACAATACATACATAAAAATAAAACAAAACAAACTAATCTGAAAAATTTGTTCTGTGTAATAACGATGAAATGACACGAGGTGCTCAGCTTTTTAGGCTGCAGCTTTATCTTCTTTTTCTGAAAGCGTTTGAGTTTCTGGGCTCTATTTTGACGGTCCATGCCCAGAGCGCAAAACGCAGGGCGCAAACGCTTTCAGGGCGTGTCAGGACGCCTTTTTGCTAACTTAAGGACGGGAAAATCCGCTTTGCGCCATGGTGCATGGACTAAAAGGGTTGAATTTATTTTCTTAATGAGTTATAGGTGTGTTTTGAGAATAAACCAATCAGAGTCTCATCTCCCATTACCTTTAAGAGCCAGCTGCGTCGCGCCATAAGCGCATTCGCTATTTACAGGACGTAAAGTAAGTTCACTTTCGCTTTTGCTCTCGTGGATAGGGAAATCTTACCGCACAGGCATCAATTAGCCTATAAATAATTAATTTCATTTGTTAAGCGCAAAGATTTGTTTTAAAACTATTTCTAAATTCAGTTTTAATTTCCAGCAAACGAATAAATGAACAATAATAACAAAGTGTGGTCAAAATACTGAGTTATTTCCAAATACACCTGCCATGCCCCATATGGTCTAAAACCTGACAGGTGGACAAATCTAAGCTTGCTTTTAATAAAACAAATATAAATATGGATATAATAAATAATACTGCTAATAATATTAAACATTATACAAAAGCAAATTGAATGAACTGAAAAAGCCTCCCGAGATGAACAAAGTATGACGGCAGTGGTTTTTAAATTCATGTAGGCTAGAAATTAATATGTTTTGTAATATTTTAATCATTTTTATTTATATCCTATATATATCCCTATTATATCCTTTATATGTCCTTAATATATTATATCTTTTTCATATGTAAAGATATTTGCGTATTGCATCTTGTGTGTAGTGTGTGGCACTTTGCGCCAGACAATAGACCGACTTTGTTCTGGTCTAAAGATCAGACTATTTACAGTTTCTCAAAGTAGCAACGCGCCAAAACACGCCTGCTTTCTTAGACCAGAACGCCTATGGGCGCACATTTGAGCGAAATGCATTTGCTATTTAAACAGCGTGGCCCAATGCCTCAAAATGACCCTTGCGCCAAGCTTAAAGTAGTAAAAGACTATTGCGCTCCGCCTTGCGCCACATTGCGCCGGGTGTATGATAGCCCTCTGTGTTTTGGATCATTGTCTTGCTGAAATGTCCACCCTGGTTTCATCTTCATCCTCCTGCTAATGTAGATGTTTGACTGAAGCAGCTGATACTCATTTGCACTGAGGAAGGGCAGGGGGTTGCTGAAGAACTACTGAGAGATTTCAGCTGCTGTCTGGGCTTTCACTGAAGAATTACACCTCCCTTTCCTCATGTGTTCAATACTTTTCCATGAGTAATTTAATTTCATTATGCATAACTTCACATGTAATCGTATTAGTTTTGGTTTCTTTTTGCATAAATAGATTTCTTTATTTGTTTCAAACATTTAGGGGAAATTTTCAAGTCAACAGCACCTTCAGAATTATGTTTTATGAGAAAATGGAGACGTGTTCAATACTTATTTTCCCCCACCCTATTATTCATTAAAATGTCTTAAAAAGTCTTAAATCTGACTTTTAGAGAAACCCTGTAGAGAACTGATATGATGAAGTCAGGTTATAGTAAGTCAGTGGTATTAAGGTTTTTCTCAGGTTTTTTTTTTTCCTAGCAGCAACAGTTGTCAGTGTTAATTTGCTGTCATTAAGAGCTGATGTGTGATCAGTGCTGTGAGACACAGTGACACTGTGAAACTCCAAACATATTCATCAACACATTAATCACAGCTCGACCCATTAGCATTATGTTTAGTGCTGTAAACTGAATGCGGGACAGGGGAGCTTTGAGGAAATGGCTGCTGATATAATGATGATGCTCTGGATTCACAGGTTCCTCCAGTACGACATTTGTCTCTCATTCTGTCTTGTGTGTCTGTCAGTAATTCTGTCTGTCTGTCTGTCTGTCTGTCTGTCTGTAGCTCTGCAGTCGATATGAAAATCGAGCTGCCTATAAATCGGGATGTTCAAACGTACTAAATATCTAGGAATAAATATTCCCAGGGATATGTCCAACTGAGAAATGCTCAATTAGGGTCGCATTAATAAGACAATAAAAGTAGATATTGCAAGATGGAATCTTCTACCACATTCTAACATGAAATCTAGAATAGACTCAATCAAACAAAACATACTTCCAAGACTGCTTTACTTATTTCAGTCTTTACCTGTTCCCCTTGCGAAAAAACAATTTTCGGAATGGGACAGACTGATCTCTAGATTTATATGGCAGGGCAGGAAACCAAGGGTAAAATTTAAAACCCTGCAATTGGG